AGAAAATACTCGAGTTTTTTTCTTCTTCTTCTTCTCCTTCTTCTTTCTTCTTCTCCTTTTATTCTTATTCTCCTTCTCCTTCTCCTTCTTTTTCTTCTTCTTCTTCTTCTTTTTCTCCTCCTCCTCCTCCTCCTTCTTCTTCTTCTTCTTCTTTTTCTTCTTCTTCTTCTTCTTCTCCTTCTTCTTCTTCTTCTTCTTCTTCTTCTTCTTCTCCTCCCTCTTCTTCTTCCTTGACTTGTCGATTATTTTTCTCTTTATGACGGAGGATGAAAGGGAGGGAAGGAGGAAATAATTTTGTACGTGCATACATTCGTACATATTTACATGGATGAGTATTATGTATACAGTATATATAGATAAGCATACATATATGTACGTAACACAAACACACATGCATACATACATGTATGTATGTGTATGGCATGTGTATGTCTACATAAACACACACACACACACACACACACACACACACACACACACACACACAAACACACACACACACACGTATGCATGTATGTACCCATACGTCCGATAAATCTCCCCCTGCGAGTTCCTGTCATCTTTGCAACAACCGAGGCCCAAACAGACTGCAACTGCAACTTCCGCGCATCACAACCACGTGATGCGAGATAGAAAGCGATTGAATTCCAGTGAAATCCTCTCCTTCCTCTTGTTTAAGCATTTTTTTTTTTTTGAGATTGGTAATCACTAAGTCTTAGTGAGTTAAAGGCAAGGTCCATGTTTTTTTTTGTTTTTTTTGTTTTTTAGGTTTAAATCGGTTCTCGAACGGTATCTCTATTTCCTCCCGGGCCCACACTTTCTCTTTTTAATTTAGGATTCGAAAAAAAATATTACTGGAATGAAGGCTTCTCTCAACCTATTGTTAGGAAAGGTTGGCATTTCTTGTCTGAGAATAATAGGTTATCTAATAATGATACTAAATCAAAATGACTGATATTCTCGTATTAAATGACAAAAATTATCAGAAACAAATTTACAATCAAGTCCTTTTTCTGTGATAAAACGCACAGATAATTCCTGTAAAAAGCTAACAAAGCTAATAATTAAGATTAATATGAAGGGGAAAAAATCAAAGAGATATTTCAGAGATCTTTCGCCGACGTCTAAAATTTTCGATTTCAAATTGCAGACGCTCTGGGCACCGAATTTTCCAAGTATTTTTTATCAGGCCCATTTTCTGTGATGTAATTGGCTCCTATATTGAAGTTGCATAAAAAAGGGTACAATATACTCCTTCTTTCTTTGCAACTCACCTTCAGTATCTACTTAAACATTTTAAAAACACTACATCTTGCATTAAATACACTTAGTTATATTATATATATATTATGTGTGTGTGTGTGTGTGTGCGTGTGTGTGTGTGTGTGTGTGTGTGTGGGTGTGAGTGTGTCAGTGAATATAACTTTAGTGTCTGTAATTCCCCATAAGTTTACCTCAAAAATCAACTCAAATAAAACATCCAATTCCCAAACGATTTCCCGGGGATCAAAAACCAAAATCAAAAACCCTCCCCGCCCCCCCCCCTACCCCAAGATGGCGTCAAGAGGAAGAAAAGGGCGCGACATACCCCTCGCCAAGGGTCAAAATACCCCCTGCTCCCTCCCACCCCCACCCCTCCCCCCCTGTATGCGAGAGGGGCGGAGGGCGTGTCCTCGCGAAGCAGGCATTCCCTCTCGTCACCCTCTCTCGGCGCCTCCATAAACAACGTCGTTAGCCTTTGCGTGCAAGATAAGAAATCCATTTAACGATAAGGAAGCTGTAACGAAACAATGAATCGCTGTTTGGCTTCGGTTCGGAGGAGATTAAGGTTTTCGGTCATAATGAGATTGAAAAAAAGGCCAAAAAAGAAGATAAAAATATACGAATGGGTTAGATTTTATCGAAATATTAAGAAAATGTAAAGATGCGACACTGCTTCGTAAAAATTGCATTTTTAGATATGAATCAAGAAAAGTAAAGAAAAAAAAGAAAATGAAGGTAAATACAAAGGCATAAAACACGAAAAAATAAAATGAAGAAGAAAAAATAACAGATGCCAGAAGATTAAAAGTTATAACCCCGCGGCCATTAGGAGGGTAGGCCTATAGTCCAAGAGAAAGATCTTGAAGAAGTACGCGATATAATATAATAACAACAATTGTAATAGATCGGTCCAAGAGTAAGGATAAGAATCGTAAAGACATTGGCAGAAAGGAATCAAAAGTAAATAACGATTAAGTATCAAATGTTGCAGCCGCATGAAATAGAAAAAAATAATAATAAGCGACCGCTGGGCTAAAACTTTCTCCTTTTTTCTTTTCTTCCCTTTTTATCTCTTACTGTTTTCTCTGACCAAAATATAAAATAGAATTAGCAACGATAACAAGGATGATTATGATAAAAGTTGACGATGACGATAACGATAACAAAGGCGATGAAAATTAACAACCGTGATAACAATGACGATCATACCAATAATAATACTAAGAATAACAAACAAAAATAGTATTAATCACACATTTCCCTTCGCTGAGGAATACAAGCGCCCTAGAGACACGAGGGACAGGGGGATTAAGGGAAAACCTCAAACTAACGAGAATGGCGCCGTTAAGAAGGAGATGGGAGGAGGGAGTGGGGGGGAGGGGGTCGCGGAGGGCGTGTCGGCTGATCTGAGGGAGAGAGGGAGGAAAGGAGGGAGAAGGAGGGAAAGGGAGAGGGAGGGAGGGAAAGGGAGAGGGAGGGAGAAGGAGGAAAGGAGGGAAATGGAGGGAGAGGTAAGGAGATGGAGGGTGTTGGAGGGAGAGAGAGAAAAAAAAAGAGAGAAAGCGAAAAAGAGAGAGAGAAAGAGAAAGAGCAAGAGAGAGAGAGACAGGGAGAGAGGGAGGAAAGGAGGGAAAGGGAGAGGGAGAGGGAGAGAGAGAGAGAGAGACAGAGACAGAAAAAGAGAAAAATGAGAAGGCAAGTTCTTTATTCACGTATTCGCCCGGAAATCTTTTCACTTGTTTGCTTACCCATTAAACAATAACAATAAAAAATAATAACATATATAAGAATATTATTTTTATCATAATATTTCATAAAAGCAAACTTATCATAATAAATAAAAAATATAAACAAGAAGAATCAGAAAGAACGTAAGAGGGAGAGGAAGAGGAAGAGAAAGAAAAGATAATAAATAAACAAAGAAACATCTAGTGATGAAAGATAAAAAGGAGAAGACTGATAAAGAATGGATGAAAAAGATAACGATGATCATTATTTCTTTATCAATTTCCTTTATTGTTTTCTAACATATTTTCATACTAACTGCTATTCATTCGCATTTCTGTTTTATCCTTGATTTTCATATTCGTCGGTGTTTATCATTTGTATTTCTGTGGTTTTCTTTATTCATATTCCTCTGTCTCTCATTTTAATTTTATTTTTCTGTCTTTCTCTCTGTCTGTCTGTCTGTTTGTCTGTCTATCTATGTGTCTGTTTATCTATGTGTCTATCTTTCTATCCATTTCCGCCATCCCCTTCCTTTGTCTATCTATCTGTCTATCTATTCATCTCTCTCTCTCTCTCTCTTTTCGTCTCTCTCTCTCTCTCTCTCTCTCTATCTATCTATCTATCTATCTCTCTCGCTCTTCGTCTCTCTCTCTCTCTCTCTCTATCTATCTATCTATCTCTCCGTCTCTCTCTGTCTCTGTCTCTGTCTCTCTCTAACTCTCTCTCTCTCTCTCTCTCTCTTCGTCTCTTTCCCCCCCCCTCCCTCTCTCTCTCTCTCTCTCTCTCTCTCTCTCTCTCTCTCTCTCTCTCTCTCTCTCTCTCTCTCTCTCTCTCTCTCTTTCTCTCTCTCCCCCTCCCTCCCTCCCTCCCCCCCTCTCCCTCCCTCTACTGCCGCAGCAAAGTGCCTCGAAACTATGAAAACTTCTTCGGGTTTTCGGGGAAACGATCACACTTTGCGACCTCTTGGGAAGTTTTGCGCGCGGAATTAAGGGGTAAGGAGAGGAAGCGGAGAAGGAGGGAAAGAGAAGGGATGGGGGAGGGGGGAAGGGGGGAAGAGGGAGAGAGAGAGAGAGAGAGAGAGAGAGAGAGAGAGAGAGAGAGAGAGAGAGAGAGAGAGAGAGAGAGAGATTGGGAGAGGGGGGGAGAGAGGGAGAGAGAGAGAGAGAGAGAGAGAGAGAGAGAGAGAGAGAGAGAGAGAGAGAGAGAGAGAGAGAGAGAGAGAGAGAGAGATTGGGAGAGGGGGAGAGAGAGAGAGAGAGAGAGAGAGAGAGAGAGAGAGAGAGAGAGAGAGAGAGAGAGAGAGAGAGAGAAATACAACAGAATAATGGAGTTACACACCGAAAAAATCCTAAACACAATAAAACATAGAAAGAGACACGAATATTGAGAATACAGATAACAACAATAACAGAAATAACAAAAGGCATGACCCCCCGCCCCCGCGCTCCCACCTCTCTCGCCCCAGAGTGAAACTTGCCATAAATAACGATAAGCGTCTAATATGTCACGTTGCCACACTCACTCATCTGTTAAAGGACAGATATGTAGGCCTAATGTTGTTTGTGTTTATGTATTTATGTCTATGTGTGTGTGTATGTATGTATGTGTGTGTGTGTGTGTGTGTGTGTGTGTGTGTGTGTGTGTGTGTGTGTGTGTGAATGTATATTTATTCATCATGCGCGTATACTTATCTATCTATTTATCAATCCATTTATTTGCATTCAATTCACTGCCTTTTTACAGTCAACCTGTTACACACTCTTTAAAACTTTCCGAAAACCACTATTTCAACTTCAAATACGACGCTTAACTCACGTATATATATATATATATATATATATATATATATATATATATATATATATATATATATATATATATATATATAAAAACTCACTTCCTCTAAATAAATATCCCTCACTTCCTGACCTCCTCCTCCTGACCTCCACCTGACCCTCACTCGCCCTCTGACCTCCCCCCCTCTCCCTCTCCCCCCCACAGAAAGCGAC